TGACAGAGAGTAAGTTGAGCATCACATTCGGTGCATGCAAACAGTTTGACAATTTGATGCCAAACCAACACTGTCTGATGGTCAGCCAAGCCATGCAGGTACCTCGTCCGGTCATCTCAAGTATCCCATGGTTTGCAGTGCAAACGGAGACCGATCCCTCTATTGAGTAGGTATGAAAGAACCATCTATCCTTGATGAGAGTCATGGTCGTTCTGGAGTCAAGTATGGTAGAGAATGGGAGGGAGGTGAGGCAGGATACATCGTCAAGAACTTCAGAGACTGATGTGAAGGACATGTCAGCCATGAGACTGCTGAGTCCGGTCACTGCTGCTGCAATAGCTGGTATTGCAGGGGCAGGAGTGGGAGCAGGAGTGTGTGTGGGGGCAGAGGTGGTCGTAACCACTGCAATGGCTGTCTTTCTCTTTTTATTCTTTATCCAAGGTGCTTGTCCCTCCATCCCACCCCCCTTACCATAACAATGTGCATGATCATGGTCACCTTTATGGCAGCCCAGCATGGTACAAAAGACACCATCTGGATTGTGTCAGTGCTTGCAAAGGCTGGTGATCAGATTGGTACCAGGGTTGGTTGAATTGGAGGAGGCTGTGTTAGCATACTCAGAACCTGGTCTTGAATGAATAGCCTTAGTGTGCACATGCCATGCAGCCTCAGTTGTGATGTGAGAGACACAGCTTTTGACTGTGAATAGTGAGGGTGTACCCGCCGCTGCCATCATGACTTCATCATGCATATGCTGTTTAAGCATTAACTTAAACTGTTGCCATATAGGTGTTTGCAGAAGCCCAATTAATAAGCTGTAAATGGCATCACCATTGTGCAGAGCAGCTCCAGAGTCATGAAGGTGCTCGCAAAGTACTGCATGTTGACCGACATAGTCAGTGGCATCAGCTGAGTCCTTCATGTGTAAGCCATCAAGCCGTTGACAAAGTTGATATTGGGCACTGATGTCTGTGCAGTTGAAATGCTCCACCAGCATTTGCCATGCTTTACGGGATGTGATCGCAACACTAACGCTCTGACAGATGGGCTGACACGACATGTAATGAGGTCCTTAGCTTTAATATTGTTCAGGAGCCATTCACACACGAGGGTCTGCTCATTGGCAGTGATATTTAACAGATCAGCGGGGACAGACATGAAAGAAGGAATTCCGAGAATGTCCATAGGATCAGGATTCGCATTGATGTGGCACCCAGGCTATAGTGTCATATTAATGCATTAATTGAATGGTAGTTACAAGACTCATGTTGTGCATTAAGTGTTGTAACTATCAGTGCACCAGCCTTTAATTTACTTTTAATTTCACTTTTCACTTTCCAAAACAGAATATAATCATAGCTGATGTTAAGACCATGCACAAAGGGTAGGACTGATTCCAAGGGGCTTGGCTTCAGCTCGTGCGCTGTGCCCCTTACCTGAGTACATGCCCTTAATTTCAGATGACATCCAGAGGAAGTCCAAGGAAGTCCATAGGACTTCCGAAGGAGCGCAGGAAAGTCCAGAAGGACTGTCCAGATCCAGATGAGTGCGAGAAACTTCCAGAGGAACTTCTGGAAATTACTATGAGGTTTCGTCCTGGTACAGATATGTGTCATGGCTACTCAGGATGAATCCCGAGTAGAATGGAGACAGAGGAAAGGCTGCAGGGACAAAGTCCAAATCAGAATAGGACCGCAGGACCACAGGAAAGTTCTGGAGGAACTTCTGGAAACTCAGAGGAGTGTAGGATTGGAGGAGTGGAGGAGCGCAGGAGCGGAGCTCCAGCCTAGGGAATTCCTCCCTAGGCCTAAGGTTGATATTCAGATGTAAGGAACTAGTATAAAGACCTAGTGTGAGATCTAGTGCAAGGACTAATATGTGTAATATTCAGACTAAGAAAATACAGGAGTTTCTACAAGAGTTTATATACTGGAGGCAAGTCTGTGCAGATCAGTAAGCAGAGGGGTAAGGCTATGTACGAGCATGTGGAAATGTATTAGTAAGTGCAGAGGAAGTCATCTGAAATTAAGGGCACATACTCAGGTAAGGGGCGCAGTGCACGAGCTAAAGCCAAGCCCCTCGGAATCAGTCCTACCCTTTGTGCACGGTCTTAACAGTTGACCACTAACTAATCACTAACTAACTCTAACTAACCAACAAACACTCTAACATCTAACATTCAACCCCCAACCTCTAACTAAAATTAATAGTAATCATTATGTAAATGTGTCATAAGTCATTACAATGATTAATGCACAACATGTGTCTTGTAATTACAATGGTAATGCATTAATATGACAGGATCAGGTGTGGCACCATAGGTCCTCACATGCAAGAGCATATTGCATCTTTGTCAACCATCTGACATAGTTCTCTGATCCCAACAACTCAGGAATGTGATCAAATTTCTCCATAGCAATGCCGCTGTGGTGGAGGAGTATGATAAGACTGATTATAAGAGCGGTGGGCTAACACAGATAGAGATTCTGTTTGATAGTTTTGCATGAGGGTGCAGAATGAACCAGGGCTCATAACCTGTTAACAGTGAAACTAGAAACAAGATCTCAGTGTTGTGGATAAAGATGCTAATATTCCAAGTACCTAGAAACAAGATCTAAAGATGAAATAATGTGAGACGAGAGCAGCGTGCAGGGTGTTACAGGCATCCGTAACACCTACAGAAGCCCCAGCTCTGCCTATGCCAGCCCCTGCTCTGCTAGGCTCCCGACGCAGCGGCACGCCACTTGCACTTAGAAAGACAGCAGTCTGGACCGCTGTGACACCGCCCCTGGCCTAGATGGCCTTGTACCTGATCCATGGAGGCTGTACGCCTCATAGTCACCCTAGATCAGCACATGTATACAGCATGCCGCTTCATGTAGATCCGGAGCGCCCTTGGCGCCTCATGTACTTATGCACAGTCGCACTTGGCGCTGCATGCTTGATCAGAGGTTAAGCCTCATGTACCTTATCTGAACCTCATGTCTTGTTATCATAGATCCTAGATATACTATAGATTACAGACTGAGCTTGAACACTTACATGTAGCACATATAAGTAGACAGATTATTGTACTTAGACTTTACTTTAATCTACTAGGTTCATCCCAGAACTTGTTCAGCTAAGCCTCCCAGCTCAGCTGCCTAAAACCGCACTTCTAAGTCGCTCCCCGCTTCTTAGCCATATCTGCTAGCCCTGTATCTTGACAAGCGCTGTCTTACCGAGATCACCGGAGGAACCCTTGACATTCCGTCAAGCCGAGAACCACCCTCAGCTTCAGTAGACTCACTCGAGTCGTCGCTGAGAAGACCTATCCTAGTTCGCACACGCTGACCGACGGTCAGCATAACACAGGGTACATTGGACATACCTTGGTGTTGTGGATAAAGACACTGAGGTACAAACAAACGAAGACAAAGAAACTATAAGCCGTACATAAAGAGTCCAATACAAAAAAGGAAATCTAATTATGGTGTTGAAGTTGAATGCTAACAAGAATTCGCCACATCCCTCCAGGCATCCCAGGACCTCCATCAGTTACCAGGGAGAAGTCAACTGCAAACCATGCAAAGATCACATTTGACGGCTTGTGAGATTGATCCACATCACAAGTCAAAATCTCAAGATGTTGTGGCTCGGAAAGCCCCACACATATGACGAGGCAACAAATGACCCATAGAATACTGCTTCAACGCCAATAGGTGCGCTCGTATGAAGTCAAAAAAACGCTGGATGCAGGACAAAGAAAGGAGCCATGGATGACTAAGATGTCCGGAACCGGGATTTAAACTGGCCCTGTGTGATTGATACGACAGACATTTAAATTTGCTAAACCAGTCCCTATCCTAGGTCCTGGGATGAGGCAGGTAAGCCAGTGGGCACCTCACTGGTAAGCATGATGGTAGTTAGAGCAAGAAGGCAGTGACCCCATGCTGCATCTATTTAGTATCTATCCTAATTGTGTTGTTGGCTGCATTATCACAATGCGAGACCTGACGGACAGACGGATCCCCTGCCGGACAGGTGGGCGGACAGGCAGACCCGGCGGACTTTCGAGAATTCCGGTTTCTTGCTCAGTGTGGTGATATTAATTCTGGAATCTTCGCGGCGTCGGTATGTCCGGCTTAGGTAACCTTGGAATTATATATTTACATTAGTTTTGAATTCAGCAAGCAGGTATATCTGACAATGACCACCTGGGCTCAGGCCATCCATCATCCCTGGTTCGATCCATCACCTCTGAAGCGTAAACTGTCTAATGCGGATGACGAGCGCCGTGCATCACCCTATCAGCGCTCACCGCCGAGCCCCATAAGCCGCGCCAAACGATGCAAGTTCAACACACTGGAGCATGGGTTTGCCCACCTGACGCTCGCGCCAGCGCCGGTCTGCCCCAACTCAACGAGTGGGCTGGTGATTACGCCCATTAATCCCACTGCTTCATCTTTCGAATCTACAACATTTCCACCTTCTAGTGTTGTCCTCCCCAGTTCTATCGAAGAACCGCCGCACGAAGTCGAAGCCGTGGCGCCCGAGGTGAACATGGAGACTTTGGACGAGGGTGATTGTAAGCGTATTTTAGAGTTTATGGCAGATATCAGAGTCCTGATTGCTTGTGCAGACATTGGCAAGACCAAGGCGGCTCCTCACTATTCAATATCGACGCCTTTGCTTCGGCGCATACGAAAACACCAGACAACAACGCAGCCTATCATTCCCATCTCGTCACCCAGTACGGGAGGGGGCGCTTTGGTGTTGTATCGGCCGTTGCGGCCACTTTCCCCTACTCGACAAGTCGATGAACAAGCCGAATCCGTAGAGGAAAATACCACGGCTGGTGCTGCGAGTTTTGAGCGCGATGATGATGCGATGGAGATAGAGTAGAACGACACGCCCACACATTTGTTTGCCTTGATACTTATTGATATCCTAAAACGACACATGAACTGTACGAAAAACAAGAACTGCTCATCTATGTAACAAACAAAGCAAACGAACAAAGAACTAGAGAGAAAGGTGAAAGCTTCTGAATCAACGGGCGTCGAGATTGCGGGTACCATAAGATAACATAGCGGTCCCAGAGGGACCCTCTTCAGTAGGATATAGACCTTCTGAGTAGTTAAGATGAGAGTGATGGTGCCTGGCGTGGGCGTGAGGGTGGGGAACATGGTGCATTTGAGCGGGGGTATATGGTGGACGGAGGGTAACGGATGCAGATGAAGGGGCGGGTAGCTTTGGCGGATTTGCTGTCACAGTGGTGTTTGCCAAGTGATGCTGGGCAGAAAAGGGGGGCTGGGCATAGGGGTTTACGTGTAGGACTGGGTCGTCGATGGTAGGAGGAGAGTTATTCTCCTCCTTGTCAACGAGAGGTTGGTCGTCTACGTCGTCATCTGCAATGTCACGAGCATTGGTGGCCTGATTCTTTTGAGCAGCGATTTCCTCTGCTGTGAGGAAGCGGCCACCGGGACCGCGGGGACGACGCATTGCGTGTTTGTGGCGACTTTCATGTAAATATGGCTAAAATAGGATAAAAATTTGGTTGGATGAGACTAGATTGAACAGACCTTTCTTTGCCTTGATAGTCTGTGTACTTCGTCTAAACGAGCGCGAGCGACACGACGCTTGAGAATGCGAAAATATTGTTTTGCATTTACATAGAGAGGTTCCTCATCTACTTGGTGATCATCTGTTGGAGTGTTTTGGTGTGAAGACTGGTCTTGTTCGATGTGATGATGTAAGAATAAGTCATCTGCAGGAGAGTTGCGATGAGTTGTGAGAGCGGGAGAAGAAGGACCTGGGGAAGGGTTTCGGGAATGATGATAAAAATGATGATTATAAATATCAGAAGATTGACGAGAAAAGGGAGATGAAGGATGAGGAGGATGACTAGCTGCGTAATGGTAAGCGGAATCGAGCAGCTGATCGACAGGATCGCCCATTGATTGGCTGCTGGCACAAGCGTTGACCTCAAACAAACTAATCCACAACTGGGTCACACCCCCACATGCTGTCACGTTCCTTTACGTAACACTCTTCTTTCAAACAACAATGGACACGAAACTGTGAAATTCTTCATCAATTTCATTATATCAACTCACTAACATATATTATAGGAGAGCATTAAAAGTTCAAGACCTAAAAGAAATCCTTTCAAAGGCTTCTATACCTCCAGGAAATGCAAAAAAGCAGGACCTAATCAACAAAATTTTGGCAAACCCTCCTGCTATAGACGTCTTTCACACTCTTCATCCACCAAAGAACTCAAAACCAGTACCACCACCTGATCATGATGACCTCGTGCGTTTTCTCATCATCAATTCATCCTTCATATACTAATTTTCACACAGCTTGCTCCTCCAGAAGAGTACGTCTCACTATACCCACGTGTCCGAACTCTGACCCTTTCATAGAGTCGACTGGACCGTCGAAGTGTCCATTCCAGTAGAACCTGCATCTCCCCCCAAGAAATCTGAACAGGTTGGCCTTATTTTTTAATAAGCCGAGTTTGTTATTTACATTACTCAAGCCCTCTCCATCACCTGCACCAGCCGCCCCAGCTCCACCTACACTCGTACTCTCAGAAGAGGATAAGCGCAAAGCTCGTGCAGCTCGTTTTGGTACGACTTACGTTGAACCCATTCAGCAACAACCCAAAAAGGCTACTGGTGAGGTGAGTACCATCATATACCGACTTCTACTCTTTCATGACCATTTACCCTCTAGAATTTCGATAAACTCAAGGCCCGAGCAGAGCGCTTTGGGACTGTCCCTTCCGCCACCAAAGTTAGGGGAAAGCGCACAGCACCTGTCGAGAACGTCGATCCTGAGGAGCAGGAGCGCAGGAGGAAACGTGCAGAACGCTTTGGTTTGCCACTATCCGTAAGTCCCGTATTCATGGTCGGCGCTGCATTCACTCATGAAATGTTTTAGGGCAAGGCGTAAGTATTGTTGGGCTTGTCATTCTTGAACAGCTTTTATTTATTCTCACTGCTGTTGTTCGTGTATATAAGCGCATATCTTTTTTTGGAGTGTAGCATGTAGACGCCTAATGATGTATTTCCGTCCTCTCAGCTCGAATACTCATTGTGATTCTGCTGTACACATTGGAACTTGATCCGCATCATCAATGCATCAGTGATGGTAGTACATGCATAATCCAAGGCTAACAGTGCTCATACCCTATAGCTAGCATCTTAATCGACGCGACCGCCACGCTCCTGCATTTCACACCCATCGACCCCATTCACCATGTCCTACATGTCCTACCCCCAGCGTTCTACCTGGCTTGAGTTTCTTGGCTTTCCCCCCGGCTACGGTCCTTGGACTTATCGTGCTATCCCAGAACCTTTGATCTCATCCGAGCTTGCACGTCTGGCTTCTGCACACGTCATCACCAGTAAAACAACCACGACGGGTTGTGTCTCCCTCCAGCCAAGCCCAGATCCAGACGACCGCTCCCAGGATCGCTTTGTCGTCCTGGACTGGGACGGATGGTTGTTTTCTGCTGTGTTTGACGGTTCGTGCAACCTAATCGGATTCGAAATAACTCTCTCTGATACTTGTAACAGGCCACGGAGGGGAAGAGGCCGTAGACTACGTCGTTCAGGAGCTCCCCTCATTAATCCATGCAGCTCTCGCCAAGGCTCTGGCAGATGCAGGCACCGCACCCCCTGCACCCTCTACCGTCTCCACTCTTCTGCAGTCTTCTATCCAAGCTGTTGATGACGCTTTAACCGACAGAGTCAAACACCTCTTCCCCGACGAAGCAACGCTCGCTGTCCTCACAGACGAACAAATCAAGTCCACGATTAACGGCCCCACAAACCCCAACAATCTTGCCATCTTGCGCTGCATGCGGGGTACAACTGCCCTCGTTTCGCTCGTGGACCCAAAGAAGGAGAACCTCTGGGTAGCCAGCCTAGGTGATTGTCAGGCTGGTGTGTGCCCTTTCCACGACGCTTGAACATACAAGGTTGATGTGATCCGCAGTGCTCGGAGCTAAAAACTCCAATGGTACATGGGATGCGACGATTCTCAGTGTAAATCACAGTGGCAAGAACCCGGCCGAGGTCGCACGTATCCGCAAAGAACATCCAAACGAATCTGAATGCATCAAGTTCGACAGAGTTCTCGGCGCAATCGCCGTCACACGAGGTGAGTACTTTCCCCATGCCCATTTAAATACAAACATATATATTCACACAACCAACCATCTAGCCATCGGAGACCACATCTTCAAACTCCCTGTGTCCTACACTAGACGAGTTTTCATGAACTGCGTCCCCGGCTTTTCCGTCTCTTCCAAACTTGAACATTTCCTCCCGCATAACAAATCGCCGCCCTACCTGTCCGCTCTTGCGGACATTAAACATGTCGCTCTCCAGCCATCCACAGCTAACATATCTGAATCATTCTTGATCTTGTGCTCAGATGGCCTCGTAGATCTATATGAACATACGAATGCACGGAGACCTACCTTGGAGGAGATTCTCACACAATGGGTCCATATACTCGGCGAGCGTATGAACAGCAGAGGTGCCAAGGTCAGCGATGGGGCGGACAAGGAGAATGCAGCACTAGTGCTGCTGAGACACGCGCTAATGGCCGGAGGGGTGGATGACCCGGACCGTCTCGCGCAGATGCTCACAGTAGAGATACCCTGTCGGTGGATGGATGATACAACCGTGCTTGTCCAGACCCTTTGATACACTCATGGACTGCATCTGTGATATCTATGGCAGTCGACCCATAGGTGTAGCAATATGGTCCATTATTGCTCTGCACTGTACAAGGCTTCCCGGGGTTAACTACATGTCCTGCTGGCAACTAGGACTCCAAGAGAAACCAGCACTATCATACCTAATCAGGGACAATGAAAGAATCTTAGCACGGAAAATCTTATTGCCCTATCACCCTCGCAACCAGCCATGAGTCAACAGTAACACTTCCTCACCACCAAACCTTGACGATCGCAGGATTCCACGTCATCCAGCTCATCGTCGAAGAGCTCTGCCTCAGGACATGCATTCTTTTCTCACAGCAGAGCTGCTTCGCCCCTTGTCCGTACCGAAAAGCGGGTTCAATGAAAAACTGCACCCAGAAAGTATGACCGTACCCCCGGACAACGCCACATGGTATGCGATTCGTCACAATGTGCAAGGTTATTTGTTGATCAGTTCCGTGAACTGAAATGTTGCCCTTAGTGCACTACACAAGTGAATGTTAGTTTCATAATTGCTCGACATGACCAAGATTCATTTCATCTCTACTATGTAACTCGGGGCTACGACATGTAAAGCTGGCAGGCACGTCATGACGATCCAGATGCATCCGGTGGGGGCGGTTCGCGAAGCGGGTTCTCTTGTCGTGCTTGGCTAAGCAGCCCACCCAAACCTTTCTCTGTAACAGCTTTCTATATTGGAAGAAATTAGCATCATAATCATGATCAAATATCGAACGAGCAGACGATCTAGTGAATTGAATTGGATGTTGCTCGAGAAATCATTCCCTGTGATGTGGAGAAAAGAGCTGCTACTTACCTGCACGCAATCTTTATATTCCGCCCAGATACTCCCACATTTGCGATCGTACTCTTCTTTCTTTTGCTTTGAGTACTCGATTCTTTGACTTTGTGAGTGTCCCTTGGTATTGGCGTTCGCAATAGCTGGTTCGAGGTAGCCCTCAAACCAAGTATTGAAGCAAGCATCATACTCGTGCTTCAATGGCGTGCATTCTGGAGATAACGAATGGGCCATTCCTGCAAATAAAATGCGAGCGGGAGGCAGGAAGTACTCACGAACAGCCGTACCGTCGGGTGTGCTCACGCTGCTTACTACATACGTAAAACGTCACTTAGTAATCGGCTGCGGCTGTGCTACCGATAATAATCTTTGCATAAGTATCATATGCTGACTTTGTAACACATCGCCGACGGGGACGACACCCTTGAAAGTAGACATCCATGGATCTAGCAAACGAACAACCCTTATTCACTTGCCTGTCATGCTCGATAGCCTTTCTTTCCGCGGAGGAGCAGCGTATGTCCTGGCACTCCCTCCTGTCTAGATGAATTAATGCATGGGCACACAGGCACGCACTACCGCTCAGACCACCATAGGTACAATATGAAACGTCGCGTCGCATCCCTCCCACCAGTTAGCGTTGCCATATTCAATCAAAAGGTGCTCGAGCGCCGTCAGGAGACCGCGATCATGTCCTCACTGAAAGGTAGCACCTGTGAGATGTGCGGGTACGTCCCTTCTGATCATAACAACCGCTTTCTTTTTCTTTCTTCTGCGTTGATATTGTATCAAAGTTCTCTGACACACGAACAGGAAAACATACACAACAGAAAATGCGTATAGATCCCACATAAATTCCAAGAAGCACAAAGAGAATGAGCTCAAGACTGTCTCGCGGCCAAGTCAAGTAGTACCACAGCCAGACGAAGTTCCTAGCGCCCCTGTAGATCCCCCGCCGTCATCCACGCTCCCCGTCATCTCCGAAACCCCCATACCCAAAGACTCGACCCTCGGTGTACCCGCGACCGCTACCGAGGATGACATCAACGAAAGCATAGACGCTAAGATAGCTGCTGCCCGCTCACGTCTGTCTCCAGCACACTGCCTCTTTTGTCCGCATACTTCCTCCACGCTTTCAGACAATCTAACGCATATGTCTTCTTCGCATTCCTTTTTCGTACCTGATGCCGACTATCTCGTCGATCTTCCTGGCCTCATCACATATCTTGGTGAGAAGATTGCAGTTGGAAATGTCTGCATCTACTGCAACGGTAAGGGACGTGAGCTTCGGACACTCGAGGCTGTGCGGAAACACATGCTAGATAAGGCTCATTGCAAGATCGCCTACGATTCCGAGGACGACCGACTTGAGGTGTCAGACTATTACGACTTCACAACTTCATATCCCGCTGACACACGGAAGAAGAAATCTAAACAGATATCCGCGGAGGACGAGGAGTGGGAGGATGCCGAGGACGACAGCGGGGATGCAGAAGAGGTCGTCGATGAGGCCGCTTCAGAGCCTCCTGATTCTGAATCAGATTCTAATGAAAGCATACCCGAGAACCAGATCACTTATGGTGATACCGAGTACGAACTTGTTCTCCCATCAGGTGCACGTATCGGTCATCGGTCTATGAAGCGCTATTACGCACAATCCCTGCAGCCCACGCACGTCCAGAGTAATGAAGACCGCAACTCTGGGATTGCACTTGTCCGCAGATTGCTCGCAGACAAGAATTCTGCCCTCGTACCCCGCAAGGGTGGGTTTGGCGCACATGGGCAAGGAATGGAGACTGTGAAAGCCAGGAATCGTGGTGAAGCAAGAGAGGCAGGGAGGCACGTACGAGAGTTCAGAGATCAGAAGCGCAGGGAAGATTTTAAGACACGAGTAGGTTTCATACACAACAGCCAGAAGCATTTCCGGGACCCACTTCTACAGGTGTGTTTTGTACTTGACAATCCTTCATTATCACTCACTCTCATCAGTAGTGAAGACGCAGAGTTTCACTGTGCATGGCAAACTATGCATGATATTCCTTTGGCATTTCCAAAACCACTACCTCTTGTTATCTTGTCCCATGAAAGCGTCTCTAGAAGGCGGAAACATAAAAAAATAATGCTATGATATCAATGAATTGAAAGAGCGACCGAAAGGTCGATCTCGGTTAAGTAGGGTATAATGATGTACGACTGATAGCAAGAAACAAGATACGAGAAGGAAACAAATCAATACAAATAGGCCGCGGGTACCACGCCCTCCTGGCCTGTTTGTGGATTTCGCGTATACCACCACCTGAGAAGATTATGAGCGCAATGACCATAAAGTTGAATGTGATCTCTTACGCAGTATCCCGATCATCTAACACTTCTACCTCGAGTCCAGCCGTCAAAGGTAGTTCGCCCTCACCCGTCCCATCGAACGAGTAGCGAGCGTGTGCAGGACGAGCGAACTCCTCTTCGGCGGCCATTGTACCCACGACCGCATCTGAGGGAGTTTCAGCTCGCAAGTAGTTGCTACCATCTGGTCCAAATGGATCAGGTTCTGCAGCGGTGGATTTTCTTGCGGCTTCATCCTTCTCAGCGCCGACCACATTTAATGGGCTCGCGGCACCGAGAATCGTTGTTCGTGTGGCCGCGTTGATGTGTTCTAGTAATGATGATGGTCGGTGTTGGACTGAATTATCGTCGTCATCGTCATCGCTGGCATTATACTTCGCTACTCTATCATCGCGGCGAGACAGTAGGGTCCAGAGGATGCCGATGAGTGCCAACAGGAACACAACTCCAGCTGCAATGGCAATGGAAATGAGAATGACAATGCCAGTTGCGAGGAATTCTGCAAGAGACCATGAGCTATGATTCGAGAAGACACAGAAGTTACTTACGTTGTTGACCAAAGCTAAAGTTTGCGAGTGAATAGAACAGTGAAGAAATTGAGCCCAACGCTCCCTGAGCAGTTACAGTGGCCATGTAAGGAATAAACGAAGAGCCATCAAAGAGGACAGAGGACGCAGAACCGAACGAAGAGTCTGACAGCGCGCCGGAGATCATCAACATCCGGTCAGATTCAATGATGCTGTTAGCTGAGTGCGTGTCCAGTAGGGGAACCATGAGAAGCTGGGAAATGTTGGTGGTGCCCTGGAGCGAAGATCCAACATTACTCCAAGAAACACCATCCCAGAACATCATGAATGGTGAGGAACCATCAGAAGTGCTGAAGACCAAGATAGATCAGATGATATGCCTATGAACAGTAACATCGTGTCACTCACCGACCAGCTGCAAAGATGCTGGAATAGTTGCCATTGTTAACCGTCACTGCCGTAACCGGTCCTGGAATTTCAGCGCTGTTCCCAATGGCGGCCCATGTGGAATCTGCAAAATTATACTGTGCGACATTGGTCGTCAATCCACCTAATGTGATAGATCCGGCAGCAATCAGGATTTCTTGAGTATTCTACCGAAACCCAGTCAATAACATGTTACTGGCCAAGAACATAGATACTTACTCCTGCATATGAGACAGACGAGATGTCTCCCTGAATACCGCTTCCGAGAGGGTTCCATTGATTCAAGGTGGTATCAAATAGACAGATGGCTTGGCAAGACACAGAACCAGCCTGCGCAAACGAACCGGCGACAATAACAGTGTCAGACTTATATATTGACGACGTTATCGAGCGAACGACGACCGGAGATCCTGCAGGGGATTGCAATGGTTGCATGGATGATGTATCCCACTGTTGAGTAGATAGATCATAAAGAGCCAATCCAGTCGCTGAGGTTCCAGTGAGATTGAATTCACCGCCGACGAAAAGCTGTTGCTGCTGATCAACATAAACAGCGCGAACGACGCCATTGATCTGAGCACCAGCGAGCGCAGATATTGAAGACGTAACGGGATCATAGATAGCAACGGCGGATGAGGTCGTAGAGGAAGAAGAGAATGAAAAGTTGCCTCCAATTATGGCTACCTGGTGGGAAGTGGAAACATTTGTCCAGAATGCCCCAGCAAGGACAGCGGGAGCAGGAGCGGGCGAGGAAGGCGGCAGGGCGCTTGAAGTTGTGCTCTGGCGAGTGAATAGGGTTCCAATATTGAGGTGAGATATCCATGCAGATGGTCCACGACGGACGTGGGGATGACGCTTCGTTAAGGTGGCCGGAGAAGATACGTTCGTAACGTTGCTAGTAAGCTGAATGCTCATAGGTGTCACCAGAGGGCCTGTGCTTCCACCACTGGACAACATCACAAGGCCGCTGGAACCGTACTCTGCCATAGTATCCACATTACCCGCGACGAACTGGGTTTGTTTCTGACCCGAAGCAGGCGAAGTACCGTTGCCGATGAACGTCATGTTGCCCACTACAAATCCACCACTGTTCACCCACAAACCGGTACTAACGTTCCAGGTAGCTAAACCACCAGCGGGAACACCAGTGGCCGACGAATTAAGGGCCTCGGTGAAATTGCCTGCAACCACAATTTGCCCATTGGCAAGCACAAGACTATTGACCACACCATTGACTCCTGCGCCCATGGCCTTCCACGAATTAGAGCTGACGTCGTAGATAGCAACGCCATTGAGTTTGCCCTGCATGGAAGCTGTGTTGGTGTCTGTAAAAGAGCCACCGACGTAGAGCTCGTTGCCGCTCAACACGAAGGAGGTCACAGGCCCGTTTAGACCATTATTAGGAAGGGAAATGAATGATCCACTCTTGAATGCAACGATGTTTGAGACACCGCTTGTTGAGCCGGAGATCAGCTGGAAATTGCCACCGAGGTAAACAGTGCCAGAGGGGTGCTGTGCGACAGCTGTGACGAACACAGTGGTAGAAGTTGTAGCTCCCAGGGCGTTATAGAGATCAATGGATATCATGTCCAAAGAAGTCTCGCTTGAGTTGGGAATAGTTCCGGTAGCATCAATGCTCGCACTGGAGCTCAACGGCCACTCAAAGAAACCGAAACCATGCTGGGAACTGCTAGTCGCGTTGGACCCAGAGGACCCAGACCCGGCGGCAGATGTCACATCGGCCGATGTCAACACTAGTGCAACATTACCGGCGACGAGTTCGTACTGCCCATCCTGACCAGTCCCTGCAGGATTATTCGCAAGCATCATGGATACAGTGGTCACGAAGTCTGTGGATGAGGGGACGATAGGACCACTGTAAACAAGTGTGGTCGTATCGGACTGGACCTGCTGTGAAACAGTAGAAACCCAGGGTTGACTTCCGCCACCTGGGAAGACGGTGACTTGGACAGATGTACGGAGGGGACAATCCTGGAAGTCTGCACAACCCGGAATGACAAGATATACATCATACTGGCCAGATGCAGAGACGTAAGGCTGCCAAGTAAAACTGGGAGCCTGAGAAGGGGACGTGCCGACAGCCACTGTGGAGACTAGGACAGTTTGCAGTGTTGCAGGGATATTGGTGACAGCATCTTTCGTGGTCCACTGGCCTGTACTAGTGGTGTTGGATGGATTAGGTGAAAAGCAGGATTGCAGGTTCCCGTTGCTAGATGCGAACGCGCCAGAGGATAGCAGCTGCAACATATGCAAACCGGGAGCTTCACCTGTCCAACCCGACAGAGTGACTTGTATACCGGTCAATGTCACCGGAGCGGTGAAAATGAAGTCCTGGTATAAGATTGATGAATCGGTCGACAAAGGACAGGTAGCTGTGCATGTCATGTTTTGTCCAGTTGATGGGTTGACATATGACAAAGTCTGTACTGTATTGTCTGGAATGGATGTCACACTAACGGATGCAAAATGAGACATCACAAATCATCCATCATTGAAGGAGACATACCTAAAAGTCGTCGTGCCAAATCCACTCTGGAACGTGTTGCCAAGGCGAACACCATAGGCGTTGATAGAGGAGAAGTCACGGATAGTAATTACAGCGCCATTTCCGTTCGCAGCCAACCACGTGTTGCCAGGTCCATCCGGACCAGCAGGACACAGTATATTCGAAATGTCGCTGAACTCAGGGTCAGATGACGATGGTTGTCCCAATATTTCCGCGCCTTGAAGAGGAACAGGAACGAGTGATGAAGAAAACGGCGTGGCGCCAGGAGAATATGGAACATTGGGATTATTGGTGTTATTTAGTGCAATGGCATTCGCGGCGAAGGCAGTGAGGAATGAGCCGGCAAAGAAGAGACTATTTTCTGAAGCGTTAGAGGTGATGGAAAGAACTTCTCCGCCACCACCTGTGAAGCCTTTGAATGGGGGTGCGGACCAAGAATTGGACTTGGTGTCCCATATAGCTACAGATGAACCGGGCGACGTGAAGCTGCCACCCACCCATAACTGGCTGGTGGATACGTCACAATATAGCGAGTGTATTGGGCCGTTAGGACCGTTTGAACCGAGCGCAGCAAATACGCCAGAAGAAGGCGTGTATGATGCGATGTTGCTGGCGGACACGGATGTATTGCCAATAGATGAGAAGGATCCGGCCAAGTAGAAGATATTATTGATAGCGCAACCTGATTGAATTGAGCCGCCAGCATTCGTAGTGCCAAGCGTAGTTAAGGCGCCTTCGCCAGTGCGAGCAAGTAAAGAAGACGCAGAAGGGTCAAATGTTACAGCAGTAGAATTATTGAATAGACTGAGACCCGCAAATGCACCTGCAAGGCCTACTTGACCCATACGACTGAAATCGACCATTGGGAGTGACGCGAACGCGGGATTGGCGAGAAGAGCTGTGAGGAAGAATGCCAAGGACCATCGTATCGAACTTGATGACTGTGAATGCATTTTATGTAGTCTCCACGGTAACGTTCCAGGGTATAGAGACCCTGATGGAACCTAGTGTCCTCTACAGAAAGCCAGAGTTTAAGCGTCAGCCGAACGACGTTGAAAGGAAAGACGGTCACGGTTTTAAGTTAAGCTTTGAATCTTCCCATCAAAACGCATTCTAATAAACCAACACGTCCACGTGGACCAGGTCATGGACCTATTGGGCGGTGCACCGCACTTTTGACTGGACTGTATAATTGTCTTGACTGCCTCACGAAGTCCTCACACAGACCGTTAAATTATAAACTCGCAGCTTATTTCCGAGTCTGTGCACCCATCTCCGAACCGGAAGAATGTATCAAGAG